TAACCTGTACGTCCAAAACGGTTTCCGCACACACACCGAACATGCCTGTGCCGCAATTGCTCCTGGCAACGCGAAAGCGCCCAGCACCCCCGTTGACATCAACGATTTCCACTGCGCGCACGGCCACTCCCACGAGGTGCTGCTGAGGACCACGGCGAAGCAGCAAGGGACGACGCTGGTGGGCGAGCTCCGGGAGTGCCTGGGGTGCTCGACGGCGAAGGGGCTTTCCAAGCCCATCCCTGACAAGACGTCGACCCGAGCAGTTAAGGAACTGCAGCGAGTGTGGATCTGAGTAAGTGAATCCCCCATAGGCAAGTGTCCGAGTGATGTAGAAACCCCCTCCATGACCGTAGCCGCCGTTGCCAGGTCTGTGTACAGAGAGGGGTGGGAACAGGCCATGAGGGAAGAGTTTGAAGGGCACTTGGGCACGGGGACGTTTTCATTCGTAGACGGTGCGCCAGAGGGGCGCAGGCCTGTGAGCTCAAAGTGGTGTTTTAGTTGGAAGACCAACAAGGAAGGGAAGATAGAAAAGCTCAAAGGGCGTCTGGTGGCTAGGGGATTCTCGCAAGTGCCGAACGTCGACAATTTCCATTCGTCTTCCCCTTGCCCATCATCCGCATCCGTTAAACTGATGCTTGCGGTAGCAAACGAGAAGGGCATGAACCTCAATCACTGGGATGTGAAGCAGGCGTACACACACGCCACGCTAGACGAGGAGGTTGTTCTGAGGCTCTCCGCTGGGTGTGGGGACAAATTGCATAAGATTGTTCAGGCTGAGCGTGCGATTTATGGTCTAAAGCAGAGCGGTAGGCAGTGGGGGTACCACGCTGCTGATACGCTAGTCGAGAACGGGTTCGAGCAGTGCAAGGCGGACCCGTGTGTTTTCCGCAAGATGGTAGACGAAGTCGTGGTGATGATTATCGTGATTTATGTGGATGACATTTTGGTGGCTGGGTCTGACGAGGATTGCGAGGAGTTGCTTGCTTCTCTCAACAAGAAGTTCCCCACCAAAAATATGGGAGAATGCGAATCGTTTGACGGGTGTGCCATCGAGAGAGATGTAGAAGCTGGGACTCTTAAAATCTCGCAAACCGCGTACATTGACAGCATGGTGAAACGCTTTGATGTACAAGACTGCTCCTTCGAGTTAACGGGTACAGGCGCATGAAAGACACCTACCGGAAGCTCTGTTACGCTCAGACGCTGAAGAGGGTCGAATGCCAGAGCGTTGAAGCCACGATCCGACAACGACGCCTACTGTTCGCGGGAGCATTGTCAAGACAGCCGAACGGGCGACTCCCGAAACGACTGATGTTCGGCGAACTAGCAGCGGGGGAGAAGCGACGTCGGGGGGGACAGGAACAGAACTGGCCGAAGTATGTGCTCGACGACCTGAAAGCATTCGGGGCCGACCACGGATCTACGAAAACCGATCCATGTTGTCTCGGAATCCCGGTACCGAAAGACACGGCACCGAAGTTTAAGTGGACGAAAGCCGCGAAGGTAGAGGGGGGAGTATCCTGGCATGCGGCGGTGCTGCAGGGAGCTGAGAGGTTCATGACCTCCTGGCACGAGAAGGAAGA